ATCTTCGGAACACAAATTAAGATATTTTTGATGCATTCTGACAGCTCTCTGACCCTCCCTTATGGCGCTTTTCCACTGCGTGGTACGACTCGGCACGGTACGGCTCAGTACGGTATGGCACGGTTCGGCACGGCACGGTTTGCGTTTCCACTGCAGTTCATTACCGCTTTAGAGTGGGCGGGATTATTCACATGTCGTTATAGTTGCGCCGCCTCTACTACCACGACTCCTAAAAAAAACTTCTTCATTCCGCGTCGCCCCATTAAGCTCTTGCTGGATCCGCTCCTCTGCTATCAACGAGAGGAACGTCTGTTCTTCCTCAACAGACAACAAAACTTTTTGGTTGTTAAAAAAAAGGTGCGCTCGTTCAAAACAGTTGCTTTCGATCCTTCGCTGGCTGTTTTAAATCTAGCGGTTCTTTTGTGTTTGTGTCGTAAGTTCAGTGACTCAGGTAGTGACAATTCTCTCCGGCCAATCCGTGATCAGCAGAGTTTACACGTCATGTTTTGGTAAAGGTACGGTTCACTTGGAACCCCAACCGAAGTGGTACTAAAAAAAGTACCAGGTACCAGGTACTGTACCCAGTGGAAAACCACCCAAAAGTGAACCGTACTGAGCCGTACCGTGCCGTACCATGCAGTAGAAAAGCGCCATTAGACTAGAGAGTGCTAGAGTGGGCAGGTCATTCCACCAGGAGGGAACATTTAATTTAAAAGTCTGTGAAAGTGATTTTGTGCCTCTTTATAATGGGACATGACAGCCACCAGGACAAGACCACAGGAACCAGTTGAGTCCTCTGCACAATCTGACTTTGCTGCAGCCTGGCATTGAACTGCTGGTTTCACCCGACTGAGCCTGGTTTCTCCCAAGGTTTTTTCTCCATTCTGTAACCGATGGAGTTTTGGTTTCTTGCCGCTGTTGCCTCTGGCTTGCTTAGTTGGGGACACTTCATTTCCAGCGATATCGTCGACTTGATTGCAAATTATTGCAAAGATACTATTTAAACTGAACTGAGCTGGATGATGACATCACTGAATTCAATGATAAACTGCCTTTAACTGAAAATTGAGTGTTGCTATTGTCCTTTTGCATTGACACACTATTTTCATATTTGATACTGTAAAGCTGCTTTGACACAATCTGTATTGTTAAAAGCGCTATATAAATAAAGGTGACTTGACTTGACAGATAGTTTATGAAATGTGTTTGATTGTTAATCATGTGTTTTAGTGATGTGTGATTATTACAGCACCTAAAACAATTATAAAAACATCCAACATTTTACCTCAAACCAGGACACGTGCTTTCATTAAAATCCTGTGGTTGTTTCACAGACTGGTCATGTGTCCTATCAGCAGGTGTTTTTTGGGCTGGTCTGGATAGTTGGTTTAACCATAATCAACATGAAAAGAATAAAGAATAAAGAGTCAACATTCCGATATTGAGGATTTGTAACATTAACTGAATAACATACCATCAGTTTGTGTGAATGTATTAACAATACATAAGGGCACAGTGGTAATCAATTAAGGACTTCAAATGCAAAAACCTCTAAGTTCGTCTGCCATTTTTCTTTTAAAAGGAGCATTTTTATCAGGCTCCTATATTTATGTCCAGTAATTTCACTTCAATGGCAATAAAAAGGTTATTAGTCAGCTATTGATATGCCATGTTTTCAAAAATGTAACTTTAGTCCATTAATTGGTACACAGTAAAATCCCGAGTGTTAAATGAACACTGCTTTAACATTAGTTTGTTTCTGGTTGCTGTAACTGTGTTTATGACGCACATTTGTTATGGCAAGAAAAACCCAGAGAAAATGTGTTCATATTATATTGGCTGTTTTTTTGATAATGACGTAGTTGTCATGTAGTAGCCAGGTTCACTGATATCATCAGTGGTAATGTGTACTATAGTTTGTTACGGATCACAACTGCATTTTAATGAAATAATAAGAGGTTTAGAGCATCTGTACTGTTTAGACACACAGACATCAAGAATCAGCTATGAATCTCAACAGTGGTGACGATCATCAGACAGATTCATGTTGCATTGCATTCTGGGTGCACCAATCATAACTCATCCATGGCTCCCAGCATGCATTGCGACATGAATAAATTATGCAGCTGCATTGTCTTAGTATTAACTTTTATTTTTTGTTGTGACTTTTTACTGCCTTGCTTTGTGACGTTCAAAAATCACATAAAAATGATCAGAATACTCATATTTCAGAGACATGATTGTACCATGAGTTCCTTGCCATCACGTATGTGTGTAACACACACAATTGTGCCAGACAAAGAGAAACTTACATTTAAAAAGTCAAGGGTCAAGAGGCAACTAAAGCAACTACTATTCACAAAAACGGTAAGTTGAAAAAAAAAAATCTAAATATTAATTCTAAATAAAGAACTTCTGTTTTAGATAGTCTAACTGGTTAGTAATGCATGAAGCTGGTGATGCTGTTTGTAGAGTTGTTTAATTATCTTCTGCTGAGATCTTGAGAGATTTAATGTCTTCTTTTATTTCAGTTGATTTCATCTAAGGCTGTGGCTGAAGTCAGTTGTAGTTCTTGTGTTTCTCTTTTCTTCAGTGACTCTGCTTGTTAACAGCAGGTGTTCATCACTAATGCTCAATCAGCACTTAATTAATCACATAATTATCTCAGTAACTTTAACACTGCTTCAGTGTTACTTTAACACTCTTTTAGAGTGGGACCATATATGCTCAGAGCAGTGTTCATTTAACACTCGGGATTTTACTGTGTATTTAACAAATTTGATAGTCTTTTGCTGCAAAACCAGCAAGGTCCATGTTAGCTTTTTTTTTTTTTTTTTGCCAAAAACCTTACATGCCTTTTACATGCTACCCACAAAATCCTGTTATTGCCATTATAACAATTTTCTTTAGCTTTATAATGAGCAGGATTGAGGTTGGCAATGTTTCCTTCTGTCATTGACTGAAACTACCAAAGGCTCATCCATATCCTTTTCTTCAGATACTCCATCAGCTTTAGTTAAAAATCTCTTAAAAACGTTTTTGTTTTTTTCCCCTTTTCCCATTTTTTTTGGTTGTTGTTTATGTGTGTAATGCAAAATTCTAATATAAATATTTAAAGAAAGAATCTCTTTAAATGGGATAAAAAAAAACTTGCAGCTTAACGAGGCTTTTGCTGACAAAGGTAGGTGGCGTTTAGCGGTTTCTGTCAATTAACTGGTATTTCTGAATGGGCTGAGGCTGGAATTGAACAGGTTTGAAGTGAAAATATTTGATGAACGTATGCTATGTGCGGAGAGCTTTCGCTCAGTATCATCTCGTTTTTGATGGAAGTGGCATTTAGCTGCTTTTGCATGTTAAGTCTTGAATTATAGATTGCAACTAAGAATTTGAACTCACTTTTTATTAAAGAGGACCTATCATGCCCCTTCTTGCAAGATGTAATATAAGTCTCAGGTGTCCCCAGAATATGTCTGTGAAGTTTCAGCTCAAAATATCCCACAGATTATTTATTATACCATGTTGTAACCCCCTTTTTTTGGTTGGGAGAAAAAAATGGCTGATTTTCTTTGAATGTATCTGTAAATGCAAATGAGCTCCTGCTCCCCGCCCCCTTACCAGGAGAGGGCTGTTATGCTGCCTTCACGTGCTATTAAAGTTATCACAAATATGAGTTTCCTAGGTAAAAATTGGGAATTTTTGGGAATCATTTTGATACCCAAATTCCTAAGATGGGTGGGCCATAAACTTTAATAAATCTGCAGGAATAAAAGTGGTGTCCTCCATGGCACTTTTCCACTGCGTGGTACGACTCGGCTCGGCTCGGCTCGGCTCAGCTTGGTTTGTGTTTCCACTGCAGTTTAGTATCGTTTTCGAGTGGGCGGGATTATTTACATATCGTTATAGTTGCACCGCTGTCATGAGAAATCGAGTCCCCCCTCGAAATCGGGTCCACTTAGGACCAAGGCGGTAGCTGTTTTAAATGCCTGATCAAAAGTCAACACTTATGTTACTATTTCGTTGTGAATATATGTATGGTAAGTGCAAATGTGTGGTGTATAAGCTAACCTAGCAGGCTAATCGGGTAGCTGTATGCTATGCTAGTACGCGAGTAACCAAAATAAACCCAGTAAAAACGAGAAATGTTTGATTTCACAACCTATAGCTTCGGATACTAGCGTCTGAAACATGTAATTTAAAAGACATTAATGGTTATTATTACGAAGTTCAAACGACATAAATCAAAGCGCGATTTGGCAGGAATTGTAATCAGGTGCTAAAAATAATACCCATTAAAAGTTTGTTGAGCCAATGGGATCACTCGGGGTCCTAAGCGGACTCGATTTCTCATGACACCGCCTCTACTGCCGTGACTCCTGAAAAACTTTTTAATTCCGCGTCACCCCCATAGACTGTAAAAAAACATGGACGTAGTGTCCGTTACGTCACTCGTAGGGTTCAGAACAGAAGAGCATTTTTGAAGCCTAAAGTGGGCGGAGCCGACCGCCACCATCTTGGCAGCGTGTCACCGTGCGTCACTCCCGGATAATCGAAAATGGGCAAAAATGCGGGACGTGGGTGAAGCTGAGGCGCTAGTTGCTGAAACCACGCCCGGCTATGGTGACAGCACTGCTGCCGTGCAAAGACAAGACACCGTAACTTCCCCGTAAGGGGACCCGTAAATGTGCTACACTGAACCGACCCGGACCCGTCTATTATTTTGAAAGTTGGACCCGGTGTCACTCGTGGTTTTTTTCCCCACCTTATTTCAATTACCGACTCACACTTTTCTCATCCTAATTTTACAAGTTGAAAGTTACAAAACAACACACGCACAGCGCTGACGGACTCTGATAACGGCCGGGTGTTCTCCGAGTCCGATCGACTCGGGTATTACACACAATGTTAAACAGACCCGGGACCCGACGTAATAGATTGGGACCCGACCCGGACCCGGCTGACCATTTAAAATATAGCCCCGAACCCGTACGGATCCCGGGTCGGGTGCCGGGTCCTCGGGTCTCGGGTCCTCTGTGTAGACCTCTAATTCCAAAAACAAAGCACTTGAATGCAACAAGCTCGTTCATCCTTCGCACAACTTCTGAAATAGGAATAAAGGAAATTTCCGATAGCACGTGAAGGCAGCATCAGAGCTTGTGATTCCCATATACTAAAGGTGCGTTCACGCCATGTAATTACAGTCACTACGAGATTCTGACTTGTAAAAAGTGTTCACATCCTCGTAGAGCTGGTAATTACAATTTGTAAGCTGGGAGTTTTCTGTAAACTGCTGTACCACCTGACCGGTGCAGATTCATTTAGGTGTTGATAGTGGTCCCATAGAAACACATAATTCCCGGTCCAAGGACGTGAACGGGTCCGTATATAACATCACGTGTCGTCATCTCGAGATTACTGTAATTACGTGGTGGCGTGAATGCAGCATTAGGCATAAACAATACAGGAGAAGAAATATAACTCTCAAAATGGATCATTAGAAACTGTT